CCGGCTTGAATGGCAATCGTTCACTTTTTTCTGTTTCTGTGGCCTTTGCGAATCGGTTTTGACGAGATGACGGTCCTGGCGACGTGTTGTTAAACGGGGTCGGCCACTACGTGGACGGTCATCAGTGCTGTTGGTGGCGTTGTATTGCTGTCTAAAACGTTTAATCGTTCGTACGCTGCAAATGAAGTCATTAGCAATGACTCGAGCACGTTAACCAGCGTGTAGACGTCCAATGGCGTGTTGTCGTTGACTGACTGAGTTTGCTTTTACGCCGCTTTTAGCAATATTCCAGCAATATCACGGCGGGGGACACCAGAAATGGGCTTCACTCATTGTACCCAGTGTTGTCGTTGATCTCTCGTTAACCTACCCATAGCTGCTGTGTTCATTAAGTGAACGATTGCAATTCAAGCCTGAATGCATGCATGATGCACGTGCATCTCGATTTCAACGTTGTGTTTGTGCAAACTCTTCCCTTTCCACAAACAAAACATTTCTAGTTTCAATCTCAAACAATACTTTTTCGGGCAAAATAGGCTATACATCCACGATTCATGTTTTCCTCAAACTTGACTTCCGGTGTATATTTAAGAAAATACGTTCAAATACTCCATTGATACATAAAAGTCATAAACAGTCGTTCAGTGTATTGGACCTTTGTGTATCTCCAAAATCAACTACACGCTTAAACCTACATCTGAAACGAGTCAAGCAGAGTCACATATGTGCATGCATAAGCAGTGTAATATATTTTTCTACATCTAACATGGATTTTAACTACTTATAAAAGAGGGAATCAGATAAACTGTTGATAAAACTACTCCACGGTTGTTGAAGGCGTAAACATTTTGTGTTAACTACACATATTCAAATGCAAGTCTAAAACTTAATATTGTTAATTAAATAGCTCAAGTGGAACGGCCCGAGTAACATTGGCGAGGCAGTCTGTGTTCATCAAGATACACTAATTGATACGTAATAACACAAGTCTGATAGGAGATCTGCTACACCAGAGCATTGTTTGCTGAACCATTTACACAATTTATGTTGAACATCTTCAATACGTTTACATTATGCGATGTCCCATACATCTATAGTGAGGAGTGATGAGTTAGAATTTAACGTCACCTCGACTTCAGCCATATAGTGACGAATTTTGTTTGTAACAATAAAAGTAGAGTTGCTAAATAATCAGTCCCATACATCTATAGAAACAACCATAGCATCTCCTATCTTAACTAGATCTTGACATTGTATATTTCCAACATTAATTTGATATTTGTACATTTATATATGTGTCTGGAAAGCAAGAGTGGGAACTGCTTAGTCCAAATACGTTTAGGTGTGAACACATGACCTCACTAACTATAAAACACATAGTTTCATTATGCACACTAATAAATTTACATTCTATTATACTGTGCCCATGTAGGAAATCGAACCCACTATAACCACTAAGCTACCCCACCGCCCCATGATGTTCAAGAGGGTCAGCACTTTCTTCCACAGTTTCTTTGAAGTTACCTTCATGCTTGTGAAACTGCAAAAATGTTCAAGAGCAGAGTTTTTATGTAGATTCAGAAGTAAAAGACATTTGATCAGCAAATGTGAGTGCAAATATTGCGGGACAGTCTTCAGTAATAAAGATGGTTGGTCTCCAGGGTTTTAAATATTATTCACAAGTCTATTTATGAAGCTAGGATGCGTTCTTAACAGGTACCTATATTCATGTAAAGTATTTCGATAACCCATCAAATGTTCTTACACAAGAACATAGTTGATCATACATTGATGTTATACAGCGTTGGTTTTAAGGTATTCTACAAATAGACTGTAGACCCTTATTTTCTTTTTACAAGCACTGTTTGTTATAATACCCTGTTATGACAATAGACGAATACGGAATACCTGGGGCTTAATCCAGCCTGAGAACCATCAATGATATATGTTAATGAAAGATATACCTCTGTAATTGCTAATATCATTCATATCTCCAGATGTAAACAGAGGACAAATGTTACTTTCCTATACATCTGGAAAGTTACAACGTCTCAAAACTTCTGTAAAGGATGATCAAAAGTCATTGGAGTAATTTGTTTTTCTGAGGACTTTAAAAATTCAGCAGCAATGCCATCAAGCCCATGGTTTATGTAGCTTGTCATTTCTTGTGCTGACATAGGAGCTTGAAGTGAAGGAATAAGAAATGGTTAGTCCACTGTTCAGTATTAATTCAGCTGCATTTACTGGTTTACTGTCCTGGGTTACAGGTTCTCGAACAACATTCGATTCTTCCTTGAGGTTAACAGATTTTTCTCCGTTTCAAAAAAGTGGTTTCTTTCTGCTAAATGTATTCTTAAATATTGATCCAAAATGTTAAGCGAAATGTCTTCCTCATTGTTTCTTATTAGCTCGCAATGTTTTGAATATAATTTTATACCCTGTTGAATCTAGTTAGTACATGTGTGTCATGTTTTCCTGGTCGATCCGGTTATCTGAAGCACAGCTGTGGAAAGAAGATTCAGCATTCGTAGTACGTTTATTTTGGCAAATGCCTTATTGATCTATGCATATGGTTGATAATGTCAAGAACGTGCGCTATGTGGCTATGGTATATTAGTGTGTTTTGATTTGAATGAATGGACTCATCCCTCCTGATGCGGTCATGTGTGTCAGAGAATATATTGCTATAATCTCAGTTTTAACTCACTAATAATCAGGTTATCAAATACATAAATACGTACTGTGCGTTACAGGTCAAAGTTACTTGATGGCACTAGCTGGGCACGACAGGCACGACAGCAGTTTTAATCAATTTCCTCGGATACTCGCCAGTGCTGGGGAGACAGGAGGCCAGTGGCAGGTACAGGATCCACGCTCTTGGCGAGTCTGGTCTCGGCGTTTCAGTCCTTTCAACACAGATTATTTTTATCCAATAGTCCATGAACATTACAGAGTAATTCTTTTGCTGGTGTTTGTCAGAGATGATACTATTCAGCTCAAAGGGGGAATGAACTCCTACAACTTGTTCTCTCCCCTTCCTGTGTCGGCGCTCGGCACAAAGTACATCATGTCTTCCTGTTTTCATCATACTGATTTCCTTGACGGGCACCTAAAGTCAGTCTTGGTGATAGCCACACACAACAAGAAGGTGGATATTGACATCATCTTCAGACTGGACGCCAACGTCATCTATGGTAACAAGACATACATCGACGGGGACACTCTCAGTATCAGATTAGAGAAGTACTAGACTTTCTCCTTAGACAGAACATCTGAAATGACCAGAACCATAGTTAATGCTACGGACACAATAGCTGCCTATAGTGGAACATACGATGTGCGTCAAACATTGTTCATTACTTTCAAACCTCATTTCTGCCTGTGAAACATTATGGAAATGAACACATTATTGCTATCCATGCCCTCAATGTGCCTTACGATATAGACGACGGTTTCCGGCAATACCAGCTTCAAGTTGGTACTGACCACAGTGACACGAGCATCATGTTTAATAACGGTTCTTCCATATCAGTGGGTAAAGATGGAGTGTACCGAAAACAATGTGGATATAATGAAACGTTCTACTTCAACACCACAAGGCCAGTTATGGTTACATTCTGTGCTTTTGGATGGTATTACATTTATCATGCATTTGTTGTTGTGCCCCCAGTAAGTCTCTACTCCAAGTTAACAACACAAGAAGTCTCAGGTACCGTGCAGATAGTGACAGACCAAGAAAACAATGTGGACGTTCAACAAACCCATCACACTACAGTCTTCAGCCCTCCGGTCACATGGAAGAATGTGCCAGGTACGAGATTCAAAGTGGGATCTTGGATAAGTGACAGCTACACAACAACCATCCGTTCTAATTCCACCTTTGCTCTCCTTGGATGCAGATTGTATAGCACGTTCAACGGAGGATACAGTTTTAGAACATATCCGGATACAGGTTGGTCTGATGTACATATAAATGTAGATATTAGCATCCTACATTCCACAGATGAATGAATCTGTATTGAAGGTAGTCCCTTAAAGTCTCCACTCGGCGTCTACAATCTACCCGACATGTGAATGTCCTATAACTATATAAAACAAGCGTAAACAGAATCTGACATTAAAAATGTTGCAATATTTTCAATGCCATGTTGGGATTCCGGGTCTCAAATGCCTAATCTGTTGTTCATAATGTCAACACGCGGCTTGTCTGGTTGAGACTACATTATGTCCAGGCCGTTATAAAGCTGGAACGTTGCTGTGGTCGTCATAACGCAGCAAAGAAACAAAGTATGTGTAGTCGGGACATGTGACTTAGTTCATTCTCACTGCTTCCCGACGAAGGAGACCATTGCTCTCACATCCAATCACTGGTTTGTCTGCTCCAATCGTGATTACTTACACGCTGCCTCGTTGTAACTGGCATATTGCTGATTGAGATGAACAATATCAAAATATCCCTCCAAACGAAACTTTCTCAATATGTGACAATAATCAAATTGATGGTTGGCGCTTAGATTCAGTCATTCTCTCATTTGTCTGCTCTATTTACTGGCTACTTATCTGTTTACGATTGCTCTGGGAAACGTCGCCAAGCAGTGATTGTACATCTCTGTCCAGCTTCATAACAAGTTAAATCAAAGTCATTTATCAAAAGGACAATGTTAGACAGCCACAAAATGAGTGATAGACAGTTGAAGTATTGTGTCCAAATCCTATTATTTCTGTGCCAGACTTGTGCTCTTAATGTTACAAACACTAAATATTTGCTTCTGAGAAAAGACGTTTAGACTGAAATACTAGTATTTCCCAACTAGTAGTGTTACAAATAATGTACCTATTGATGATATTTACCTCAGGTCGTGAAATACTGAATACTTAGATAATGTTCTGACCGACGTTCAACAAAACAGGCCATGTCTTCTGTATGTTTGACTACATGCACGGTTCACTTTACTTCCAAGACAAGGTGGATACTGAATGGCTTCACTAATTTGTTCCAGAGACCTCGACACCAGATGGAAGGGCTATCAAGTTAAATACAGGTGACTTCTTTAAGTGGCATGTTTAGAAGTTGGATGATCCGATAAGGACAAAACTTTATTGTTAGTGTACTCCCCTATTATCTTCTTGTTGTTCTTGTTAACTATTTTACTGTATATATATTTCACCCTGCCTCAGCCTCATTCATTTTGCTTGACAACGATACAAGAATCTGTATCGAAACGTCGCCTCATCCGAATAAAGAAGTTGTTCATATATAAAGTGTTGTCATTATCTAAATACAGGTGAGTTTTTCTCCTGTTCTCTCTGATCGACGTTTAATGAAACAGGCCATGTGTTCTATATGTTTGACTATATGTAGGGCTCACTTTAAATCCAAGGCAATCTAGATACTGAATGGTTTCACTAAATCGTTCCAGAGACCTCTACACCAGATGGAAGCGGTATCAAGTCAAATAGTGGTGGTTCCTTCCAAAGTGAGTGTTTCCCTTTTTCTCGGCTGCCGTCCTGCCATCTGCCATATTTATTAATATTCTGCTTTGTTATGAAACTTGTTCCGATGGGAACCATAGCTTTACCACAATCATTATATAGCAACTCTTAATTGAACAATGGGGTGGCTTAGTGGAGTCATCGCTGTTTTTGTCTTCAATTACGGCCGCGAGAAGGCTATAATGTGATGTGTATTTGTATTTAGTTTGGTTTAATGTTCAGTGGCAATAATGTCAACTGTATTTATATTTATGAAATATACATTTTCAGTGGTTCATATATATTTACGTGAAACCCTACTACCGTTAATATCAAAAGCTGCCCTAACGGAGTTGTATTTGTCATGGCTATATGTCCAAAAACACAATTTAATTGAGATGTGTGTTCTTTAAATTCTTTTGAGTAGTATATATTCAGGCTTGAACCTGATCTGTATGGAGAGTGTGTCCATGACCAGCCCAGCACTGACGTTGTGAAACTCCCTTTATATCCTAACTGGGGCCATGAAACAATCAATTAATATTCGCTAAAATCGTGTATTTTTTAAACAAGTTCACATCATCTGGACAGCACTACGTTTATGTTTTATCAACAAAAACAAAAAAACAACCCCGAACGGCCAAACATAATATCCCCAATCCTCCAAATGAATAGTCCGTCCATGGATTATAAACCTTCCATCGAGAGCTAATGGCAATAAAAACAATGTACAGCATCAAAATATAGCTATATATCGCCTTGTATGATTGCTTTCTCATGTTTTATTTACCTCTTGTTATCACTATCACGCTTTAAGCGGATGTAACTGTAGGCGATATTTACGATATCCCCACTCGGCCACAATAAGAAGCCCTACATAAGCTTTGTGAAACCTGGCTAACAAGTGACTGCATATGTAAAAGATATGCACACATCACAGGTTTCTTTGTTCACCGCACTCAGCAATATTCCAGCTATATGACGGCGGTCTGTAAATAATCGAGTCTGGGCCAGACAACCCAGTGATCAACATCAACATCATGACCATCGACATACGACGACATGTGCCCACCAAGTTAGAGTCCCACCAAGTCAGTCCCGCGTCAGTCGCCTCTTACGACAAGCATGGGTTGCTGAAGACCAGTTCTGACACCAAAGACATTGTCATTCGTTCACTATCTGTTGCCGTTCACATAAGCTTTCTGTAAATTGTTCCGAAATGTCAGACGTCTTCGAACATAAATGTTTCCTAATGTATCACCATTTCAGAAAATGCATTAAAGTTTTTTGAGACGAATGCACTCGTTTCAGGTGGCAGTTATAACAACACTGGAATTGTCATTATGGCTGCCCTGGTCGCCTCTGTGGCGTATGTGTTGTACATGTGAGTATATATGTGCTTATAGAAACTGAAATATATCACTCATATAAACTTTAGTTTTCATACATCTTGATTTAGTCTTCATATGTTGATAACCTCTAACGTTCAACTTGTGGTAACATATAACCATTTCGTCAACGGTGAAATGGTAACAATTAATACAAAGGACCGTTGAGATCAACCTACCGGCAATAGAGAAATACTGCAAACTGCAAACATAATGAAGAACTATCTGAGTGCTGCATGTTAACACAAAGACATGGTCAGTCATCCTGGTTAGAGTAGGAGCAGGCATCTGCAGTCAGGAACCATCTGATCATCATGTTTGTCAGCTACACTTTCCAAAAGTAAGAAACGTATAGGTGATTTTGAGAATATGTAGCTGTGTCATAACAATGCAAATATACTTTTTCTTTCCAAAACGGCATCTTTGTGTGATTGTAAACAGCTTCAGTGCCAACACGCGGCAAGTTTAACTTGTCCCTTTGTTTTACAAGATTTTGAAGAAATATTCGCCAAAACGTCACCCCCCACCCCACCAAAAAAACAAACCCAACAAACAACAACAAAACAAACAACAAACACACACACACACCCGACATGCAAAGCAAAATACACGTGCAAATAAGCGGGAAAGCATGCCACGTCTATCACTACAAAAAGGCAAACGTTGTGTTTAATTTTGTCGTTTTTGCCTTGAAAAGAGGAAATCATCATGCCACGACTGAGTGCCTTCAATCGAAACATCGACATAGGCCGCCTTGAAGTTGGGGAGTCGCAGTCTGCAGTTGCCCGACATTTCAACTTTCATCAGAACACCATACCTCGCCTTTGGTATCGTTTCCTGCAGGCCAGTGCCGCCCAAGATCGCCGATCAAGAGTTGCCACCCAAGCCCAGGACTGCTACATCCGGGCTGCTTACTTGCGTCATCGTCTTGCCAACCAAACTGTCAGGAATCGCTTGCGTGAAGAGGGGATTCGATCAAGAAGGCCAGTTGTTGCCTTTGTTTTAAGAGCGCAAGGTTGAAAATGGTCAGTGATGAATACAATTGTTTCTTTGGAACTGGATATCCTCAGAAAATGGTTGGACAGGTCGCCAGATTCGGTGTATCATGTGGGGTGCGATATCCAGCACACAAAGATCTGATTTAGTGAAGGTTGAGGGGAATTTGACAGCAAATATACATCAACGCAGTCCTTGCAAGTCGCATGCTTCTGTTTATGGACCGACAGAGTGAATTGTTCCAGCATGACAACGCTAGTTCACATACAGCTCGCGTCGCGGTCTGCTACCATGCCAATTCTAACGTCAATGTCTTGCTGTGGCCTACACGATCACCCATGGGATGAACTGGATCGACGAGTGTGTCATCCCATTGCAGGAAGAGTGGGGAAGAATTCCACACGAGCGACTTTGTCTGTGCCGAGACGGTGTCGAGATGGTGCCGAACAGTAATTGCTGCCAGTGGTGACCATACAAAGTACTCTTTGTCTATAGACCAGTGAGTGAGTGAGTGAGTGAGTGAGTGAGTGAGTGAGTGAGTGAGTGATCGAGTGATCGAGTGAGTGAGTGAGTGAGTGAGTGAGTGACGTCACATCGGCAATATTTCAGCCACATCGTGACGAGAACAAATTTGACGATGTATGTATTATAAATCCCGTCGTCAAAGGACAGCAAAACAACTAGACTATCACAGTTCGAATATAAAATTTGCATGTGAAGTTAAAACAAATAGCAGAATTTGCACAATACATAATATAAAAGTAGACTACAGATCACCAACTTAACTGAAGGTAGATCACCATACTACGGACCATGGTGACTTACAGTACTTTCCCACCTGCATGGACCCTAGTTGAATTTACACCATCCCTTCCGCCACAGGCGATTGTAGGGAAATCTACAGACGTGTGAATTGTCACCTTTTTACTATTGACATTACATTAAATAATTGTTCTGAAACTAACGCAATATGGCTTATGCGTTTCTTTTTTAAGAGTGTACTTTCACAAACACACTTTGACAAGCAGGGTGTCTCCCACAATTCACGATCAGGGCCACAACTCGTGAAAAAGAGTGATGTTGCCCTGCCTCAGTAACATGCTTTATTTGATTGCGGGGTACACTCAGAGTACGTACGTACCCGCGAACGCACACGCACGCACACACACACACACACACACTTTGTCCAAGTTGACTGCACGTTGCTGTACCCTCAACTGGGTGTTTGCACGTATTCATGAGGCCACCATCTGGTCATATACCAACGGATTCGTGGGTTGTTTTAAGTGCACAGGGTTGTGTACTGTGCACTAGGGGTTGTGACAACACTGAAAGAGTGCACACAAAGTTGACTCCAAGGTTTTTAGACCCGGTCACAGTTGGGCTCGATCCCATCACCTCAAACTCGCTGGATCACTAGCCTGGCGCTTTAGCCAGTTCGCCCACCGCGCCGAGTAGACGGGCAGTCCTATGGCAGTACCAGTGGTAGCTTCAGGACGTATCAGAAAGAGAATCTCTTCAGTTTGCCAAGCCCATAGGGTTCTCCTTGGTGTTAAAACGTCTTCTTGCATGAGTTAAAGTTTCGGAAACATGTCAATGTAGTTCGTTGTTCGTGCTCAGAAGTTATTGTGCAATGCAAATCGTAGACGTTTCTAACTAGAATTTGTCGCTGTACGGGTGTATCTTAAGATGGATGTACATGCAAGTTCGAATATGTGCTAACAGTTGGGCCAACTATAGTAATTTTATGTGTTTCACTGTACCCTTGTAGCCGAAGGAAGAAGGTGCCAGGTGCCGATGCTACATCAAACTCCAAGGCAAACTGCACGGTGCCTGACAGTGTCGCTGGTGGTGCAGCAGGTGAGAGCACGTACACATTGCTGATATTTAACCCCAGACCCATCGACATCAACGAGAGTGCTGACGCATATTTCGAAGGCGTGAAATAGTTCGAAATTTAACACAAGTGAGGTGAGTTGAGGTGAAATTTGGTTTAACGTCGTGCTTGAGAATATTTCGCTCATATGACGACGTGCATGCATGTGTATGTGTATGTGCGGCTGCTTGTACTAGCACAGAATTAAGCCAGTTTTGTAGTGCTACCTCACTGAGATACCATGTTGCAGTGAAGCATGAATACCCCACTCAGACACAGTATACTGACTCCGAGCCGACCAGTCCTTGTTGTACCCATTAATGCCGAGCGCCAGGCAGGGACCAACAAGTACCATATTTTAACGTCTTTTGGTATGACGCGGTCGGACGCTCTAATCACTACACCACGGAGGTGGACATTTAACACAAGTTCTCTCATGAGGACAGGTAATATATTCTAGCTCATTACTTTGTCTTTTTTGTACAAATCTGTGATCTCTTTAACATTCATCCGAACGCAATGTTACATGTAACTGTCTGTATCAGAATTCACAAATAAATTTTATTTATTACATGCATGTTTAAACGATATGGTTGGTGTCGTATTAAGGACGTGAAACGTGTTGAATCTATAGTGTTGTTCTTATATGACCAGTATTCATATGATGTTAGTGTTCCCCGAATGTATCTTCAGTTGGTACTTGTGCCAATATGTGAATACTTTATTTAAGGTTGTTGTAATAGAG